TGCAGGGTTCATAGCAATATACAAGACGGGGGACCCCGGCTTTCAGGGACTTTACTGTCTGAAAAGAAGAGGAAAACTGTGAGGCCAGTCCTGTGTCACTTAAGACAATTTCAGAGTTCCAAGTACTAAGGAAAAACTTCATGTGGTATGCGGAGACCTCCATGGTAAATGTAACAAAGAAAAGATCCTGTCCACAGCCACTGCGTAATGACTGCCCTGTAATGAGGGAGCGAGCCGTGGTTGCCTGTGCTTCTGTCTGTTTCATCACGTGCTCTTGGACTGGCTTTGCGCTGCTGTGCAAAACCTGGCGTTGGCTTTTCCCAGTTGGCAGTGCGCTGACGTGGCTCGCTGGTCGTTCTGGGTAGTGTCATGCTTGGCTAGCTTCGTCTGTCTTCAGAGTTACTTAAGCGGTACTGGAAGGAAAAGCATATGCAAAATGTAAACAGATTGACAGGTAATCTTACCCCTACTGGTGGGAGAATTTAACAGTATAGTTATGCAAGATCTTCCTGATGTTATAAAACAAAAGTAGTTACAGTGAAATTCTTACATTTTCGTGGAACTTGATCAGCACAGCTGCATCGAGGTAGACAAGAAGGACCAGGGCTGTGGTAGAGAGCAGGTCTAGTCCCAGTGTGATCCTCAGTACCACAACATCAAAGAGAAAAGAAAAAAAGAGGAGAGGGGAGGGGAGGGCCATGGTAAACAAGGCATCCATCTTTGTTATCCTCAACAATATGTTTTTGTATAGGAAAAAATACATAGAAGTCAGAAATTGACTCACATGTGTGTAACATTGTGCTACAGAGGGGACGGGTCTGCACGTCACAGCCAGTGGTAAGAATTCTCGCTGTCCACACGCGAAAAGAAAGTAAATACAATTCTAACCATAAAGAAGTATATATTTATGTTTCTTAGAATATATATTTTAAAACATGATGAAGTGAAATATAAAAGTGCCTTTCTGACATTATGCAAAGTATACTTTTAAAATTAGACAAAGGAAGCTTCTGGTTGACTAATACTAAAATTAGTCTTTTGTATGGGACAAAAATATTATGGAGACATAAAGAATAAAATTCAAACCAGAACTAGCTATACTGTAAACTTTATTCACTTACAAACCTAATTTAATAAGAACAGACATGAGTAGGCAATAAGGTGAAATAATTTACTTCCTGAATTGACTAAGTATGAGATTCCCTATTCATTTAAGATAGCCTTCAGCCTGACATATATCCAATATATTGTTGCTTGAAGAGAATAAAACTGTTCAGTGGAGGGCTGGAAAACTGACTGAAAGAAGAGGAAGATTAGTGTATGAGCAAGCTGAGTAAGTCATGCTTGAAAATTGCAAAATCAACAGCATCAAATACATACTGAGCATTAACCATGTGCTGGATGATGTCTGACTTAAACTTTATCCCAGCCATATTGCCAATACTGTCAGAAACCAAAGTTAAAGCTAAAACTGATGTGATTTTTTGAGACTAACTGGTGCACAAAAGAGCGAGTCCATGAATAGAAAACCAGAAAATAGAGCAGAGGAGGAAGTCGGGCTCATCTGTTGGTAACGAGTTTAGAACGGGGTAGGTTAAATTTGGACACGTAGTGAGTCACATGGAAATGCAATTTTGTGACTCGAGAGATTTGAGCTACTGCTGCTTACTTATGGAAGTGTTAATTTAAATCCAGGAAGTACTTGAGATCACCAAGAATTTGAGATGATAGGAAAAGGACTAAGGATAGAATCTTGAGGAAAAATCAACTCCAATTCAAGAGGGTGCAGTTATGAGGCCTGCACACAGTGGGAGGTGTGGTGCCGTACCACGGAGTGCAGAGGACTTCACAGATGAGTTCGTAGCTGTCAGATCAGCCCATCTGTACCTGGTGATTCACCGATAGAAAACAATTTTAAAATCACTCTCCGAAAATGTTTATTGCTTACCTTTCAATGATACTAAAATGCATTGCTTACCTTTCAATTGTACTAAAAAGGTGGCTTACTTCAAATTTTGGGAGGGTTAGTAACAAATCTCCATTAAAATAGAGGAGTACAACTGAATTATCTTACATTCTTTTATAGAAATACTTCTTGGTAGCAAATCCTTAAAATTTGTCTGAAAAACTAATTTCTGGAGAGGGTGCCCCACTGGGATTGAACTCGGGGTCATGTGTGTGCTAATGATGCTTTGTACCCCTAATCTACATCTCTGCACAGAACATTGTTTTGAATAATGTCTATAAACAATTCTCAGATTCTATATTATTCATTGGAGATGCATTTTCCCTGACAGTATGTTAAATATTTTTATACAGTTGCATTCAAAGTATATGAAATATGGTCATTATTTCTATGTAAAAAACATAGTATACCGGGTGTGTGCCTGTGTGTTTGTGCATGTGTGCACATGTGTATGTGTGTGTGTGTATGTGTGTATGCCTGTGTGCAGATGTAGCTCAGTGGTAGGACATTTACATATTATGTGGGAGGTCTAGGGTTTGATCCTGAGCACTGCAATACGAACAAGTAAATAAACAAAACCAATAAAACTGAGATGCCTCTTAGCTTTTTTGAGTGTGGAATGAAAAGCTCGTATCCTTTTGCTGTACAGGGGCTATGCTATTTTTAGAGAAAGTGTGCTCTACCTTGAACATCAGGTGGTAAAAATGGTGAATACATGGCTGTGCATGTTGGGAAAGTGCTTGGAAGCACCAGGCTGTTGTGTGCAAACTCAGCAAGATAAATTTAGGTGCATAATTTTCTGGTTTGGGTGTCCATACCTTTCATCACATTCCGAAGACTTTCCCAAGACTTTGACTTAAAGGGATCAAAACATAGCTTTTGTTTTCAAATACTTGGTTCAGCAGTTGAACATACTTGAGGAATTTTGAAGGCTAGTTTTATAATTAGAGCAATTACAGAGGAACAGAGGATTATAGACATTATTTAGTGAATCATGAGAAGGTTTGTTTTTGTCTCACCAGTTTCCTACACCACGATATTCTTCTGTCTCGGTCATCTTGCTGCCACGCTCTTGCCCATAATGGTGCTACTGTGTTACCCTGCCCTAGCACAGCAGTTAAAAGTGGTGCTGAGCATCACCTTCTGCACCTCACATGCGGAACAGAAAAATAAAAGCATCAGGATGACTCAGACAGGTTTTGACCTGGGGATAATGGGAGGAAAGGAATGGCAAACAGAAAATGTCAGATTCATCACTTGTTAGTATACTGGTGCCTCAATCTTGCTGAGAGGAGGGTGGGGGCTCTCATTTTTAAAACGAATACTTGACTTTTGATTTCAGAAAGTGAAGAATAATTTCTTTCCTGAACCTGAGGCTTGTTAGGTGAGATACTGCAATTGTTAGAAGTAGTTTTATTTTGTAGATCATGAAGGTGATAGTGAAGTAATTCCAAGGGTGAGTTTAATACTTTATGTCATCAGAACAGGCGGCTGCTATCTTTTCATACATAATGTGACGCATGTTTGTCAATCCTTTTTAAACACACATACAAAAGCAATGATTAAAAGCAATTTTTGCCTATAATCCCAGTACTCCGAGGCAAGGAGATCCTGCGTTTGAGCCCAGCCTGGGCAATTTAGTGACTTAATGAGAGACCCTGTTTCAGAATTTAAAAATGGACATAAATTGCACAGTACATCCCTAGCTGCCCCTGTGTACTTGTGATGTAACTCTGCAGCGTAAATCACACCCAGCCAGACTGTAGAATGGCAGTGTAAAGCCACAGAAGGGAGAGAGAGACATGAAAATAGCATGAAAAGGTGCAGCTAGGCCATGCTGAGCACTCAGCCTTTGGTTTCAAATCCACTGGGGTAGCACTGGCCCGAATAAAGCTGCTTCTTGGGGAGGAGGCCTCGGTGTCCCGTCTGTCCACATGAAAATGCTGCACCTGGGTTGGAGATGTAGCTCAGTGTGAAGGCCCTGGGCTCAGTCTCCAATACTGAAATAAATACATAAGTAAATACTTGCCGGAAGCAGTGATAGTCCAAACCTCAACCCATAAGGCACGCTTTTGTCTACCCAATTGTGTTCGTGGGTGTGACTGCAGGTAACGTTTTGCAGGCTGTTCAGCCAGGAGACAGTGTCTCCCAAAGGCGGATTATGTGTGCGGCACGGAACTAGCTTTGGTCACACAAAAAGAACAGTTTCATAAGTGTTCAGTTCAGTTTTGAATGTTCTTCATTTCACTTCTTTACATCTTCAGGAGATACTCACGTGTTCTTGTATTAGCTTTTGAAAATTATAATTGTATTGCTTTTGTAAGCTTTTAGCAGCAATCAAACATGTCTTCCTCTGAATTTTATCTCAAATGTGCGGTCCTCAAACAAACATTTCCATGCACCTCTGTTCTGGAAGCCTGTCATAATCCATCGAATCCCTATAAAATGCTGCACTCTAGCTTTTTTGACTTCTTCCCTAGAAAACTGCTGGAGGTCTTATATTAAATTGAAACAAAAATACATCACAATCAGATTTTACCACCAGTAAATGACTTTCCAACTTCAAAGTCCCTATACTGATAGAAAGAAAGAACTGGTATTTCTACTTAAATCTGAGAACGCTTTTAGTGACCCGCAGGAGGACCAGACAAACATGACATGCGAATTATGACTCCATAAGACTATTAGAAACATTAACTAGGTGACTTATATGAGAACCTCTGGCCAGTACCCAGCAATTCGGAATAGATGATGAACAGTGTGAGTTGGGTGAATGAGCAGGCTCTGTATGCTGCCAAATAATGCTCTTTCTTTTATTTTTTCTATGCCAGCCGAGATGCCCTCCTGTGAGAATAGTGCAAATGACCATGAATAAAAAGCTCATTTGACTGACTCAGATTTTTGACAAGCTTTATGTGTCTTTTCAATCAATTTTTTTAAACTTCCAAAGTATGAAATTGAAGTTTCAGAACCACCTAGATTAGGGTTTGAGGTCACCCAAGGACTCAATTTTACTATCTCCATCTACTGGCAGGGAGGAACTATACCCAAGCGTCTGGACTGGCATAGAAAAGAGGAGAAAGAGCATTTAAAAGGTAAGCAGAACACATGTTTTTTTTTTTTAATGCTACATTTTAAAATTTTTATTATCATACACTCTACTGTGATCTCACATAACAAAGGTTGATATGCCAAAGATTTTTAAAGCAAGAGAATTTGCTCAGGTGGTGTAATACTTGTACCTGATTCTTCAACGTGGACAAGTGGAGACAGGCATGTTTTCCTTTCCTGACAGTCTTGTCTGTCTCGGCACTTCTAAATTTCTCTCCAGTCGTCCGGATGTTCCAATGCTCTTTTCATATTCTAGTAATCTCCATCTTGCACTATGCTTACTGCAATTCTTCTGTTTTCATTTCTGTCCATTCTCTGACATGTCGAAAATAACTTTACCTAATGAATCAGTTTGACTGTCATGATTTAGAAAAAGCAAGCATATGCCTGTCTGCTTGTGTATAACTTGGTGTTTTTCAGATTTCACTTAGTAGGAAGTAGTGAATGAAACTTTCTTGTTAGTTGATGAGTAAGTCTTAGGACAGATTGATGTCAGTGTTTTGTTTTGTGCAGCTTGGTATTTCTCTTCCCTCTCACAAATCTTTTGAAATTGTATTGGTTTACTCTTAACTAGAGTATGGCATTGTGACCAAATTCTGGAGTATGATGACTGCTACGAAATAAATATTTTGACAGTTTTTGTGGCTGTATAACAATAGGTCTTTAAGTAATTTGTGTATTTTGAAAGATTAGTTGTTTTGAAAGCTGGTGCTGTGCATGTCTTTAAAAGCCCTGTCTTAACCTGTGAGTGAGGAGCAGCCCTCACTCACAAGTTGTCTGGATAGCTAGTGCTACTCCAATTGCTGCAGTTAGATGAAGTATGGTTTGCACATTTTATCTGGCACTGTTCTCTTGTCTTCACTCTTCACCCCCACATTTGCTTGTTGTCTTGGTTCCATTTCTCCGGACACCCTTACATTTCTTCCAGAAGGAAAATGAGTGGATTTATAGGCAAGATGGGTGCAGAGCTTTCATCTTCAGAATTAGATCTCAGGGCAAGACTTTTCAAGGAAATCCTGTGTTCAGACAGGTCTGGTCAGTTCCAGGCAGGTTGTGAATGCAGCTGGGCCGTCCGCTGGCTGAGGCCTAGACTGATCTCAACAGCACAAGGGCATAGAGACAGGTTTCAAATTGTGTGGCAGCTGACAGTGTCCAACCTGACAGTCACCTCAGAGTCCACCCTGGGATCAGAAGACAAGGAAGGAGGTTCTTTCCAGGAATGCTGGAAGAGCTAATGATAAGAGGGCGTTGGAGAAAAACCTCCCTCATGAGTGGGACGTCTGCTGGACTGAGGAAGTTCCTGTTCTGACCGGAAGTCGGTATCTAGTTGAGCCTATTCGTTCCTCTCTTTCAGCTCTGGTTTTTCGTCTTCGTGCTCCTTGATCTCTGGCTCAATTTGAAAACTGTCACAAGGCAGCTGTTGCTGAAGAATCTTGCTAATGGATGTATTCAGGCAAACTCGTGAAGGAAAGATACTGAAAATCTTCATGTTTACGCTGATTCACTTTTTTATTGTAGACCATTTCATCTAGGTGATAAAATAATGGAACCTGCGGTGCAATAGCCTTGGCCCCGTTGGGTTTTCTTACCGCTATTAATGATATTTTTTTTTTTTGTAAAGATAAAATTTAATCACCATAATTTCCCACCGAATTCTACAAATTTTATTACTTATGGTTTTCATTTCTTTTAAAAGCCTCAGGGTTATTTATTTCAGTTTTACATCACCTTAAAATGGTAAGAATTGGATAGGGTGGAGTGAGGGGCAGTGGTTTCCAGCAGAGCAGAACGATTAGAAGATTGATAAACAGATTTTATTTAAATTTAGCCCGTAAGGAGCAGTCATGTCCCCATTTAATTACTGTTTATTTATTCCTGATGTCTTTATGTAGAATTACTGTGGAAACCAAAGCAGTAATCTCTGTAACTTGCTACAAACATAATTTTAAAATCTCAAATGTTACTTATGGGAATGTGAATGCTATGTATCAATATGGACAGTATTTAGTAACACATACAACTTGGGATGGGTGGACATATTTTGTATGTGACTGACTTTTCTTTCATTAGCATTCGTAGGAAAGTCCTAGACTCACTATGTATACATTCGGTGCGTTCAGTTTCCAACATAAAATGCTAAGTATAAACAGGAAGCAGTGAAGCCAATTTTCAGCATTAATATTTTAATCTGAATAAATTAAGGCTAATATACTTCTATCGTATTATTTCTTAGGACTCATTTGTTTTGCCTTATGCAGAGCTTAATCTTTAAAAAAAGACTTTTAAACTTTTAAGAATTTGTGAAGGGCACAAGCTAGTTATTTGCATTTTTCTATGAAAGAGTAAGTTTTTACTGAATATTATTTTATTATTTTCATTGATACATTTTAAACATCTTCCTATCAGAATGCCGGGCATTATCTAGGCATTTCAAGCCCTCAAAGAAATAGTTAACCACCTCCAATGTTTGAAATTGCTCCTACACTGAAACTGAATTTTGTCAATCATATGTCCAAGACACAGATAATTGGGAAATCCTCCAAAGCAGGTGTTTTTGCTTGAAAATATTTCCTCTTAAGTAAATTTGTCTTTATAGGTTATGCAATATGAATTTGGGCTTAATTATTTGTTAGCTAGTCTTTGACATAACAGTATTATTTGACATTAATGTATTTTGTTGCTTGAAGTATTTCAGAACTTTTGGTAATTTATTAAAACTTTCTACAGTGAGTAATAGCTTTCCATAAGCTGATCTCTTCATCTTCTAGGTAAATGTTTACGTTATAATATGAATTATTCTTTATCTGTTTTACATGTTCAGATTTCTAGCCTCTTTGTGGTGTCTGAGATAATGTACAGGTTAACAGAATAAAAGTTACACTATAACCTAAACGTGTCTCCCGACATCACTATCTGTGTGTGTGTATTGCTAACTGGTGTAGGTAAAAACTTTAAAGACTCTTGTTTATATATTGTGTATTTATTCTGTGCTATAATAGATATGGAGATTATTGATAGTTTGTCCTCAGAGTTGAGCTTTTACTTTAAAATGTCTTATAAAGCCAAAATAAGCTATTTTTATTATAACCCAGGGGCTAAAACACTATGTTGTCATATCTTTACCGTTTCTAAATCACACACCGCAATAGGAAAAACATGTGCAGAGCTTTGTTGCTGGGTCTGCTACTGTGTGGATTGGGGCATCGCGAAGGGCGGAGAGGTGGCACTCGTAATAATAACCACTCCGGGATAACAGACTTAAGGCTGTGCTTCAGCATCGTGGGAAATCCCACACAGCTGTCGCCCAGAGTGACTTGGTTTGTGTTAAGTCTTGCGTCCACTTCTCTGCACTCTGCCACACGCCCTCTCTGCGCACTGGAGCTCACCTCAGCAAGTTCCGTTTTCAAGGCTGCAGGACCGCTGTAGCACCGTATTTCATGTCTTCCCCCCAAATTGTTTCCCCTCAAATGCAGAGAATGGAAAAGCCACCGGCTCGCTCTGATTGGCCCATTGCAGCGCCCCGTGTGATGAAGGGAACAGGCTTACACTGCAGTTCTGGCGTCTTCTGGGTGGACTCAGCCCAGACTTTGCCGTGAGTGGCGACTGTAGGAGGGCTGAGCGTGTCCCTGCCCTCAGGCATCCGGAAGCTCTGGTTGCCTGTGTGGGAGGAGGTGAACGACCAGCTCCTGTGCTTTGGATTAGAATCAGAGGAAGTTCAGACCCTGTTTTAGTGGTAGCCTGGGGAAACGGTCAAAGTCTAGATAGATGCTGCTTTTCCTCCCTCTTTAGTCAGCTTGTACCAGGGAATCAGAGGGTTTCAGTCCCTGCCTCGACTCCACTGCTTCTGCTCACTCTGCTCCTGCAACTGCACCTTCACACCAGGACCCGCTCCGTGCTGTGCCCTGCACCCCATTCTTCGGACCCGTGGTGTCAGCCTGGTCCTGGTTAGCAAGTTTACTTTTTTATTCTTTTTGAGATGTGTTAGTAAAGTGTTTCTCCTTCACTTACAGACTGCTTTGTAATTCTTTTCACTGTAAACAAATATCATATCATTTGATTATCTCCTCTGTAAGAGAAAGCTGTCAAGTGACTTGCCTAAAGTCACTTTTATTGTCACCTGATTCATATTTTGAACTTTGGTTACTACAGTTGAGGTATTCTCAGAGAGTGGTGAAGTTATAGAGCATGATTTTCAGAAATATGGGGGAATATTGAGAAAAAGGCAAATATTTATAATGAGTACTCTAGGACCTATTACTTCATCAAATATATATATGTGTATATGATCATATACATACGTAATCATGTGTATAATCTCATGTGTGTGTGTGTGTAGATTACAACCAATGAACTTTCAGTAGAATACCAATTTAATGTGAACTGAAGTACCTTAAGGGGGGTACACATTGTAAAATGTTTATATATTTATCTTGTAAAGTCTCTGGAAACTTAGGAGAAAGAAATGAAACTTGAAAATGACATGTAAAATTGTCTTCTGTCCTTGTAGGATATCAGCTTTATTTATACTCTCAGAGTGTACGAGGTGGTTACATGTTCTGAGCACCAAGCTAGATTCTGGTTATGAGCATTCAGTAAAAATCATTTGCCTTCTGGAAATCATAGTGTGGTAGAAAAAAATTTAAAAATGAATATATGCATATGATTAAAATATGCAGTCCCAAAGGAATGTACGATGTGAATCAACAATCGTGTTCTAAAAAGTTAGCATTTGAACTGGGTTTGTTCGTGGAATATTAATTTATTAGAATACCTGCTCCAGAGGTGATATAAGTTACAGACCCGGAAGTGGTCACAATAAGAGGACAGGGCTTTGTTTAGTGTCCGGTGTCCAAAGCTCCTGGACAGTACCTGATGGGTGACATGCTCTCAGTATATACTTTCAAACTTTTATTCACGTGAGGATATACTGGTGGACCACATACTGGTGGACCACCTTGTGGGATAAAATGTCTGGGAATTTCCTTTGGCCGTATCTTAGATAATTTAATTAGTTTTGTAGTTTACTTAATCTAGTAACCCCTTCTTCTATTTCCCTTTAGTGGCTATTTGTCTTTTAAATTTGTAGATAATGCTAGTTTTGCTGATTTTCTTTTGTCTTGATATTGTTCTAAAGATGCGAGACATGGTAGATGGACCTTACAATAGATCAATAACTTGAGTCTGAGTTTTCTGCCCAGCGTACGTATTATCATACTTGTGTATTTATTATAGTCAGAATCTGAAAGAGCAAGTATGTCCATTGGATGCATCCATACAGATTTAGTTGATGGAGATATATTTATCAGTGCTGTGGAGTTTGAGTATATCTTTTCTCTATTAAATAGAATAAGGTTGGGATGAAATTACTCTGGCTTTTTTAGGCCTAAATCTACTAAGTCATGGAGTCAGTAGATATCAATATGTATATTTGCATACAGTTGTGCATGTGTCATAAGCTATAACGCTTTCCCTGTTGTTAAAATGATATGTTTTAATTAGCTGTATAAAAAACCAAGAAGATTAACATAAGGCAGTGTTATCGGCAAACGAAAGAGTGAACAATATGCAAATAAGACCAGTGATTCTAGGTGTGTATCAAATAATGATTGGAAACAGATGCAGGGATGCTTAAGAAACATCTTTTAAATAATTCAAAAATAGCATGTCTACACGTGAAGACTTAGACATCTTTCGGGTATCTGTGGAGCCTGTGAGCTCTGAGAGATAGATTACTGCAGTCTTTGTGAAGCAAGGAAGCGAGGCTCTTTAGAATGCCCAAACTAAACCAAGAGGTCTATTTCTTTTTTGCCTAATTTTCATTCCTACAATTCTTTTCTGGAAAAGTCAACTTAAAATATTAGTTTAAAGACAAGGTTGATTCATCTTTCATCATGAGTTGCATGTGATCCTGAAACTTCTGTTTTAGTGTTGCCTTTATTATAATGTAACATTTTGAGCTATCAAAAGTTTTAGTGCTCGTTATGACTCTTCTATTGTACTTTTATGTGTAATAAATAAATCTTTTAAAGTACCAAGAGTATGTAATAAGTGCCAAATATTATGGTATTGCTTGAGTTTTATTGCTAAACTGATTTGAAACATGCAGGTATATAGTATACCTATACAACTGAGTTGTATTTGTATACATAGTAATTTTACAAGATTTATACTACTAATCTTTACTCTTCTCCCTCTTTTCTATTTTTTCTACATTTTAATTTTTAGTACATTTACCTTAAGAAGGGTGGTCAGGTATTTTGACACTGTGTAATTTTAAAAATTTAGTATTTATAAAGATTTCTGCTTTTATTATCTTAAATTTGTAAAACCTGTTCTTATCTTGGGATACATCGTGAAAAAGATCATTTCAATAGTTCAGTGACTTGACTACAAACCTAAATTTTATTTCCTTGGTACTTTGAGCAAATCATTCCTTAGGGACAGGAAAAAGGTTTCATTAAAATCTTCACAAAATCCTATGTATTTATCTCGTCCTTAAAATACTAGTAAAGTTGTAGGTTTGGAAAGGTGGGTGTTTAAACAACAGAACCGTAAGTGCAGCGTGTTAATTTGGTAGGAGTCAGTGTTTGTTGCCTGCTTGCTTTCTCCCTGTCTCCCTCCCTCCCTCCCTTTCTCCCTCCGTCCTTCTTTCCTTCTTTTGATTACAGGCCCAGTTGTTTGAGATTCCAATAAAACTGACAGTCATCTGAAAGTCATGTGTGCCTGGTGGCAAACCTCACTGCATGCTGGAATGAATTGGGGGAGGGGGCAGCAATTTCACTTAAAAGAAAATTTACAATTCCTTTACCACAAATAGAACCTAGATTGTTAGTCTGTAAAGTATACTTAATTATAGTCTAATGAACTTAGGAATTATATAGGAAAAAGGTGTAAGCACAAATTTAAGTATATGCATTTTAGCCTTGAACTTTTTTGACTGAAATACAAAAATAGAACTCAGATCATCCCATGGCCATTCAGTTTTCCAGACTGCACACAGAAAGTAAACACTGCTGTGCTTGTGAGCAGTACCTTTCTACAAGGTGTTTGCTTGAGAGACAATGGGCAGATATTAAATTGTGATAACTACTTAGAAAATTAAAATATTAAGATGCCAAACTATAAGCCACTATTGTATGTAGAAACACTTCTAAAATATGTAGATTATTGAAAGCAAATCGAGAGCATATGTTGATAGCTCATTTTAAAAAGAAATATTTAAAAATAGTTTATGAATGTAATTTTAATACTTCATATTCATCATTCTCTTACCATTAAGAGTATGTAAGAATTACACCAAATTAAGTGTCAGGTATCTTGCTGTGACCTCACTTTGTGTGTTCAGGGTGCAGTTGCTTAAGGCTCTTAAAAATTGGTCTGAAATCATACTAGAAGTTGAATAAAAGACAGTTTAGAATAATTTCTTATTCAAATTTAAAAGGCACAAATGGATTTTCATGGTCTAAAAACTTTACCTATCTTAATTTGTGGGCTTTTTAGTGTAAGTGATGTTCACTTAATAAATGCATATTAGGAACTTCCTCTCATTATGAATTCTCCCCTTGTGGGGGTGTAAGAAAATATATATTTCCATACCATTTTACTCTTCCCCTCAATTCTTCCCAGACCAAAATTCTAATCAAAAGGAGAGATTTATTAGTAACATATTTCATCCATTGTAAAATATCTCTTCTCACAAATGTAAAAATATCATCTGTCTTATAAACCTAGATGCTTTTTGAACTGTACAAACAGAGTCTTAACTCACCTTTATTGTGATTTTTAGGAACCAAAGAGAGTTAGTGATTAACATTTTAATAAACAGATTTATATAGTCTAATGCTGTATTTTTTCAAGTACAAATAGAGTTAGTTGTTTTTTCAATAAAATTAAAATACTACTTTACTGGATAAATTTTGAAACAAGCAGTACTGGACATATATTACATATTTAACACATGTTTGGGGCAAAATATGAAAAATAAAGATTATTTTGAAATGACTTTTGAAATGTGTGATCTCAATGTATGTCTATGTCTGTGTTTTTGCTATAGGAGTACAAAATCCCCAGCATGAAAGAATTATTACTGTGGCTACTAATGGGACTATCCATAGCCCGAGGTTTCCTCATGCTTACCCAAGAAATATGGTCTTGGTGTGGAGACTGGTAGCAGTGGAGGAAAATGTGTGGATACAGCTTACATTTGATGAGCGATTTGGGCTGGAAGACCCGGAAGATGACATATGCAAGTAAGTCACCACTCAGAATTCCGGCAGATTGGAGCCGCTGCTGTCATTCCAGTTGCTTCATGGCTATTATTTTAAGTAGCACCATCTTGTTGTTTGTAAGATGTTCTAAGAATTTATGGTCTTACCTCAGTTCCATTCCATTTACATTCTTCATTTAAGAGCAGACATAGATACATATTCATTATTGTCTATCTTTTATAATCATTTAGATAATTTTTGCTGGAAAGTGTATATAAGCTAAAATGATTCAAGATAAAGTACAGAGAATTTAAAACCGTGTACAGGAATGGAACTGTGCCCCAAACATTAAGTTATCATTTGTGCTAATAATTTTTTATCTGAGCTTCCCAACAGCAAAATCAAAATACTATTATCTATTAAAAAAACAAAACTAATGAGTATCTATAGTTATATATTATCTAGATACACATATTGATACACATACACACATAGGAGTAAACGGTTTGTATTTCATCACAAAGAAGAAATGCAGTCTGAGAGCAGAATTTCAAATTTAGGCTGCTATTATGTCTTGCCAGGCAGGAATTTCCTTGATTTTTCTAGCAGCATTCATGAACCAAAATCAGCTGGAATACTTCACCCACAGAAAAGACCACCTACTGCTTGTCACACAAATACTACTTTTTAAATTCTCCATGGTTGCATTTCTTGAGGTTGGGTGGCCTACTTGGAGACTTCTCTCTTGAGTGGCATTTGCGTATTAAGAAAATATTTTACTTGAACTTCTTTGCAGGGTTCTTTATTTTGTCTTTGATGTACAAATCAAAAGAGAATTTTTGTTTTATCATACATTACAAATAAATATTTCAGTGCAGATAAAATAAATTGCCCTTGCTGTCATCACAGTTTTTATCTTTCACATTCATTTATTTTACTTATAACTTTTTCTCTTTGTGATCATGCATTTCATGTTGTTTTACTTTTTTTCCCTTACCTCTCTGATTTTAGACCTTGTAAAAGTAGGGGCTGGCTTACTTGTTTTTAGAAGTCTGTTATTCAAGCCCAGCACGGTGGTGCATGACTATAATCCCAGCTTTCTGAAAGGCTGAGGCAGGAGTATTTCAGGTTTGAGCCCAGCCTACGCAACTTAAAGTGTTATGGAGACCCTGTCTCAAAATTAAAATAGAAATACTTGGGGAAATAACTCGGCAAGCCTAACAATATTATGTTTTTAAAATTAGTTTATGTTGATGCTTACAGTTTAGATCATTCATTCTCTTTGATTTCTAGATTTCCATTGTGTAATTTGTCAACATTTTTAGTCTCTTCTTTTCAGTAATGCGTGGCTTCTTTCTAGTTTTCTGTGTACACAAGTGCAAGAAAGTCCAGCAGATATGCAAGGATGGTTAGATAGCTGTCTAAAGACATTTATATTTTCAATGCTACTATTATTTAAAATAAAGTAAATTATTTAAAGTAACCAGTTTACACTTCTACAAAAAAAATCTGTTGAACAACATTTTCAGCAACTTTTGATTTTAGTAAAATGGTATGGATTGTAACTTACTGCTAATTTTGTCTTCCTGATTGCTAAATAAAGTTGAGAACTATTCATATTTATAACAGGCCACTAATACTTTCTTTAATGTGAAATACCTGCTCCTATTATTCCTGTAGATTTTATTTATTTGTTGTGCTATTAGAACTTTGCCTTTCATATTTAAATTCTTGACCCATTGGAATGTGCTAGTGAAGGCAGATTTTCATTGAGGCATCCAGTGATAACTCATTATCATTTATTGAATTTTCCTGCTGTGCTCAGGTGTATGAAAAGCTAGCTGCCTGGCACGTGGGGTGTCTGTCTATGGTCTTATGATTCTGGACGCCTTCTGTTCTGTTCCTTTGGTCAGTTGTGTCCATCTAACCTGAATGACTCTCTTAGTTAACTGTCATATTATTGAAGTCTATGTTAGAGAAGTCTCAAATCATTTTCTTCTCCTTGGGGCTAACCTCAGCTATTTTGCCTTTTTATTGCATTCTTTGAATTTAAGCTGTAAAGTTCCTTGTAAACCATGACAATTTTTATCCTAAGACCTCTCAGTGTTCAATAGCTTATTGAAAAATATACTCAATTTTTTTTTTTTTTTTAGTTTTTCTCCGGTACCGGGAACCGAACTCATGACCTTGCGCATGCCAGGCAGGCACTTTTGCCGCTGAGCTAAATCCCCAGCCCCCCAATATTATTTTGTTAAAAAATTATAATAAAAGACACATGTCCAGTAATACTCCCTAAAATACTCTCCCCCCCACTTTGAACACATTTATCCCCTCAGTGTTGGCACTTCCTGAAGCAGTTCTGCATGTCCTCCTTCACTAATGTCTACATGGTGTGTGATCAAAAATAGGATGAATACTGCTGCCAGTGCCATTCAGAGGTCAGGCAGGCTCCTAAAACTACTGCAGTACGTCCTCATCCACCCGATTCATCAGACCTGGCACTGTGTGCACTCTGGCTCATCCACAAAGTCAAAAGGTCCAAGAAAGGTAGACATTTTGAATTAATTCAGGAGACTAAGTCTGTCACAGCAGGACAATTATCAACACTCATGAAAGGGAGCCTGCAGAACTGCTTCAAAAAGCAATCAGAAAGAGGGACAAGTGTGTTCACAGTGAGGGGGAGGATTTTGAGGGGGATGGTGTGTGTCTTTTACTCTGATCAAAACTGTAAAATGTAAGAACTCTTTTATAATCACACCTCACATAGATCATGGAGAGGAGAATTATCATTGTTACAACAATGCCTTCTGTCCTCGAGAACTCTGCTTCTCCATCCATTGCAACCTTCTTTTATACCCATACAGTTTTGAATTTTCCTTATCAAAATATAAATCTGTTATTTAAATTTATCTCTGTTTTCCTTATAGATTATTTCTAAACATCATTTTTTGAAAATTATGTTTTCTAATTGTATATTCCTAATGTACAGAGGTGCAAACAACTTTTGTATTAATCTTTGTATCTGGTAAATTTGTTAAGTTCTTTTTCTCCCTATTCATCTTTCGTGCTTACTAGTTTGAAAAAGAAAGTACACGTCAGTTTCTGTGTCTAATGAGTACTAATGAGTACTAATGAGAAATGCGTACTTAATATCTGAAGCCATTCAGTGTTTTTGAAAAGTGCAGAGTAAGATAGGTAATAGGAAGAAAGAGAGAGATAAATAAGTATGGTGCTAGGAGATGAAGAGAAAATAAAAATGGAGACGTGTTATATGCAAGTACCTGTTCTCCATAACAAATGCAATCTTTATGTATTGCAAGCATATACCAGCAAAATTTTTTATAAATAAAATAAAACTGTTCTGGGATAACTCAGTCCCAGTGTATGAGCACCAGCAACAAGGTGATGGCAGACTGCACAAACTGCCATGTGTTGTGGGCGTAGAAGAATGTGGCCCTCAGTGGCAGGAAAGTCAGTGGCTCTCCTTGCCTTGAGTTGGAGAAGGCAGCATTTGCAGTGGTCAGGACAGAGTGACTTCATCCAAGCTGGAATGTATGTGGTTTATCTTAAGTTGATATCTAAGACTTCCGGTACATTCCTGGTGCTGGCAGTGGCAGAGTCCAATTGTAAAGCTCCACATACCACTGCAGTGGCTTCGTTTATTTATAGCACACTCGGAAACAGTGTGATGAAAATCAGCCAGGGTCACTCACGGCCAGACATGGTGGTTATGACCCAAGATGGCTATGGTCCTGCCATGCTGAATCTGTGCAATTCCTTAGGACATTTTATCTTTGAACATTTTGACTACAGCGAGATGCTAGCCCCTGGGGGGGGGTTATATCATGTTGATAAAGCAGGCCTGCCTTTATCCTGTGCCATGGACATGGGGAATTCCCGCTTGAAGGCTTTCCTAGCATGCAGGAAAAGGACAAGCAAAGCCAGATCCCGTCCACGCGAAGTTCAGTGTAGGATGATCCCTCCACAGTGGGTTGGGTTAGGACTGAGCGAGCATCCAAGTGAGCAGTTTATCACTGTGGAAAAGGCAAGGCAAGGGCTGTGAGTCCCGGCAGTCCGCACTGTTAGGCAGTTTGCTCTTGGTGCTTTCTGTTGAAGGGCTCAGCAGTGCTTTGGGAAGTTCCCGGATGAGCAGGATGAGTTGTGTTTTCATGCTGCTGGAGATTTTTATCATTGTAAAATGCAAAACAAGTCAGACGCAAATTAAGTTCTGTTCTATTTACAGTTTGACCAGGATAGGCCAGCAGAGTAGGGGGTGGTGTGGGGTGAGATAGGAAGAAGAGGCTGAAATGTCACACATGTGTGTATGTGTCTTGCCAGGAGTACTTTGGCATTTTTCAAAAGTTCAGTTCTCTCTCTCGGTCGCTCTGTCTCTTTCTCTGTCTGTCTGTCAGTCTCTCTGAGTAGGTGGACTGACAGAAACATGGCCCAGCTGAGTGCATCTGTGGGCTGCCAGCCCTCTGCCTCACAAAGTCACATCACCAGTTATTTATTGATTAAATCTCCTCCAAGGCTTCTAACACTGGTGACATTTGTTCTCCCTAGGAGGACACATTTTTTGCAGTTGAAAATGTTTCCCCAAAAATCTTTTCCATTTGCTCCTTTTCTGAAGAAACAGTGTTCTTATTACATATAAGCATTTCCAAAGATGATAAGAGACAGTATTTGCAAAAGGAAGCTGCTCACATGACAACGGCTCCTCTTCTTCAGCATGACACCTGTGTTTCTTTTGGAAGGGTGTTACAGCTGGTCCAAGGCAGAAGAAGTTAGCAGGTCATAAGAGTTCTGCATGTGCTAAATAAGAGATATCTTAATATGTAGATGTACGGTAGTGAAAATTGATAGTTTTCCTTTAAAAATAAAGCTCTTTTAAACCTTTTCTTCTCTTTCTGTTTATAATAGAATTCACATGGCCTTATTATTTGCTCATTTATTTACTGCTGCTTTCAGCAAACATTTACTGAGTGCTGTGGTAAGTAGTAAGACAATAGCAGAGAGCATGCCATGGCTTCTGCCCACAAGTA